AAAAAACAGCTGAACATGAGAGGTTTTTGGACCAATTTTGTGTTCTCCATTCTTTAAGCACCATTTAAGCACCGGCACCATTTCAAAAGTACCAGTTTGGCACCGGTATTGGATAAAACCTAAATGACACCCATCCCTACTTGGTTGTGTTGACTGTTAATGGTTACATCACTGGCTAGCTGGCTTTGCCTTTAGGTTGACTCCATGGACAAAAGCATTGCTTCTTAACTAATGAAATTCTTTATTCCCTGTTCAGGAGATGAGACTGTCATTCACTTTTATATACAAACAATAATCCAGATCACCACCCCTGCCTAGAGGTCATAACTGTAGGTTTTTACAGTGTTATATGTTGAAGTCCTGCCTCTAAGAGCACCACTGTGATGATGGATTACGAGGCAGAAGAACAATCCACGCTTCAAGTGTTAACCAGAAATGAATGAAGTCTTATACGTGAGCTGCAGCTCATTGTGATAGAAAAGATAACTGATGCACAGGAACGTGTGAGACTCACCGATACTGTGTTAGCAGTAAGAGCTGGAGTGCTGCTGTCGTTGCCTGGCTGCTCACTCTGTGTGTGCGTCGCCGAGTATAGTGTTAGGGTATGCTCGCCCACTGTGCTCGTTCCCGTGTAGTCAGCCGGTGGGTGGGTGTGGGGTGTAGCATACTCAGCAGGAATCCCGTTCTGTGAAGGAGGTGGATACTGGGCTTGTGGGAAAGGTTGAGCCATAGCTTCAGGGGGAGCCGGGGCCTCTTGGTTACCCTGTGTGGACAAGGGCAGAAAAGACATTAAGAGTGGATGTTTTTTAACAAACTACTTTTTGAGTCATGGTGGCGTCATTGAAAGGTGTCCAAAGTGTCAACAATGGTCAAAATATTTGTACAGGAGCCTTGAAGTGTCCTCAAGTCCAGAGGACGATGTGCAGGATGAATGTACAGGTTATCTAAAGCAGCGGTCCCCGGGCCTTGGACCGGTACCGGTCCGTGAGTCGTTTGGTGCCGGGCTGCGAGAGTTGAGGCTCAGGTGTGAGATGTATGGTTTTCAGGGTTTTTATCGGTTTTCAGCGTTATTTTGTTATCGTTTTTATCGTTTACTCGGTTTTCCTGGGTCTTTTCACGTGTGTTATGAATAAATCTTCTTTTTTTCAGTACCGGTACTAGTTTTATTTTGTTGTATTTATCTGCGACACCTTAAAGGCCGGTCCATGAAAATATTGTCGGGCATAAACCGGTCCGTGGCGCAAAAAAGGTTGGAGACCGCTGGTTTAAAGCACTTTGACTAAGATTAGAAAAGCACTGTAGAAACGCCAGTTTATTTTCAGTTTATTCGTGTTGTGACGATGTGTGAATGATGTTAAACTGTCCAATCAAATTCTTAAACTCAGGTAATCCATGTCAGTTGGTCTGGTATGTACAAAATTGTGCCACGACTGGGGCCAAGCCTCTTCGTCTTATTCTGACATCGAGCTTTCTTGCTGCAACTCATCAAACCTGCAGCTTCTCTTCACAGCTGAAACTGAGACTTTCTCACTACGACCACGACTGAGCTGCTTGAAGCTGTTGTCCTGTGAGCCGCCATCACACAAGCTGTTAACTCTCACAAACGTGTCCTCTGACTCAGTTTCAGGCCTGCAGACCTCTTCCTGTCACAGTTTGTTTCTGAGTGCAGAAGGAAACTCACTGACACCTTGACTTTGTTTGCAGTCTCTCTGTAGGACAGACCCACATTTATAAGTGTTATGATCCGTCTCTCTTCCATTGTTAATGGTCTTTTCTCACCATTTCTGTAACAACACTACTTTCTGCAGTACGATACTGTTCAGCTGATGCTGACGAGGGTACCACAGTGTGTTCAACACTGCTTTATGCAGACAGATGGGGCTGTAATTAATCCAGAAAAGTTGGAACACCTGTAGGAATTAGTAGCAGCAGCTTTCAAGGCTTGATCAACCTGCATTGCTGCAGAACAGATTAAATTGTTAACCCATGTTGTCCCTGAAAAAGGCCTTTTTGTGTAATTCTGAAATGTACATTATGAACGACTTGAATCGCGATAAATAACTGGAAAAACTGGGGTGTTTTCTAAAACCTTTGAACAGTAGTGTAGTTTCTTCAACACTGAGGCTTTGACCACTGATTTGGTCAGAAGCCTCGCAGCAGCTTTGTGGTCAACCTACAGATGTTCTCTGTAAACAATGAATTACAATAATCCAAACGTGATGAAAGAAGTGCATGAATAATGATTCAGAGCATGTTCAGAGCATGACACAATGGTAGTTAACTTAGATGATAAGACAACAGTGAACCAGAGATTTGATCCATAGGTAACGCAGAGTCGAGAGACGACTCAACAAACACCCTGAGGGGAGCTCTCACTACACAAATCAGTCCGAGGCACGCAGACGCACTTCTGTTTAATCTTCATTCAGAGAAAGCTGTCAGCGATTTTAATGAGTCCAGTCACATATTCAGGATTTGTAGCTTATTGGGGGTTAAAAGAGATATATGATTGAAAATCATGTAATGGGTGAATAATGCAAGTTGTGTAAAGTGCTTTGGTTGCTCTGGATAGAAAAGCTTTATATAAGAACCAGTCAATTTACCATTTAGTTCACTTTATTAAAGATGATTTAAGATGTCTTTAATAAAGCAAGAGACGAAGGGAAAAACAAATAAAATCCAAAATATCACAAATATAAATGAAGGCTCGAGTCTCCACACGCTGCCTCCTCCACAGATATTCAGTGTAGCCCAGTCTGCATGTGGAGCTCATACCACAGTTACGACTCAGCATGTTACTCTGTGCAACAGTAAGTGCCATTGTCTATAAGAGTCCCTATCATCAGACATCAGATATATAAGATTTCATAATAAAAGAACCGTACCACACAGACACAAGTCTTCCCTTCAAACTCTAAAACATATCGAGAGCGGACCCTCAGTAACTGTTTAAGGCCGGCACTGTATGGAGAGAAGATCAGTAAATCATCTGCATGGTTCACTATGGTATCACCAATCATACATCCTGTTACACAATCAAAAATAGCTTTGATAAGAAAAATCTATTTAGACATTAAACAAAGGAGACAAACACCAACTGCTCCACTCTGCTGAATCCTTCTGGGAACGTTTGTGTTGACTAGTGAATTGTAGTTCACTGTTCAAAGGTAAAAAAGGAGACCTGGCACCACAGCGAGGCCTCCTCCATGACCACACGTGATGAAGGAAGAACCATCCGGGCAATGAGGGATGAATAGTCTGCCTCACAGCTCAGGTTTCAGTAAGAAATAAACAAATTAATCTTTGGAAAGTATAAAATCGTTCAGCAATAATAATTTAGATAAAACACCACCCTGCTAAGGACCAAACACTGGGAAAGTCTGGATGGACGCTCCTGAGGTAGCACAGTCTCAGAGGATCAGACCTCGCATGTCCAAGAAGGGGTTTGGCAGAAAACGTCCCCTCCATGGAAGCTGTCTGAGCACAGGAAACCAGAAACACATGGCTTCCCAGCGAGACCCCACTTCCACAACAAGCTGAGCTTCACCTGACACCTGCTCTGGTCCTTCTTCTGCTCCCTGGTCTGTGCACACCCAGGAGGACACAGCTGAGGACAAGGAGGGTAGAAAACGCTGACACGGGAGGATGCGCTATCCTGACCCATCAGAATCGGACAGATAAGAGTGTCAGGTGATCATAAACTAAGGCAGTCAAAACATTCACACAGAGTGAAAGCAGCACTGTGACACTGCAGGACAAACTGCAGGCGGCAGCGGCGAAACCAGACACAGGCATCATACTGGAAGATGTCTGCGTTTGGTTTCAGTTTCCTTTGATTCTTTTCACACAGATGGAGATAAAAACTGCTGCAAAGGCATCAGGTTACCGTTACAATAGATTTGAGTTTGCGTCTTATATTTGGAGACTTGCGATTTTTCCTCCCTTTTCTTATGTTGACGTTAAATCTGCACACACTTCTTTTCACCTTAAATTTTAGCCTGCAGTTATATAGTAATGAAAGAAAGACCTTGGATATTGTTGGTTACATGTTTTACTTTTTAAACAACTATAACGACTGCTTGTCTAAATCTTAACCGTTACCATCGATCCCTAAACCTGTAACAGCAGCTTTCGTTTAAGGTCAGTGTCAAAGTATTTTCCCTTGTTCCTGAGTTCTTTAAAAAAAAATGTGCCACACAAAATGCAGTTTCTAATACAGACTTCCTGTATTAAGGGTAAAGGTCATTGAGACCTACCTGGCCCTGTGTGGCAGAGTAATTGTACTCTAAGGTAACACCTGGTTGTGCCACACATGCAGGCTGCAATCAAACAACTGTGATAACTGCCAATAAAGCAAATCCTTTAGAGGTGTTAGAGGCGGGGCCTATTTGACAGCAGCTCACAACACGAGTGATGCACACACACACACACACACTGTGCTGCTGTAATAATGGAGGAGTAGGGAGTAGTCTGAGGGTGAGGCAGAGTGAGAGAGAAAGGCTGCTTGAGTCAGTGAACTTCCATCATCCATCACAGCGACCGAGGCGCTGACACGCTGACACATCCCCAGATCCTTGTCGACAAATTGCCCTGGTAAATGATTCCTCTTATCAGTGCAATCATACATCCATCGCTCTT